GAATGAACGAACTGCCGCCTCCCGCTTCTCCATTACCTGTGCGACAGACCGCATTTTCCAAACCAAAAACTGGAACACCCAGTCTGACAGGTGCTGGTGAATTTGTGCTGCAGAATACTTGAAACCAGACCGTCCTGGAGATCAGGACATACATCTACCGCTCTGATATTCTGGAGCTTCGCTCCCTGCACCCCAGTCATGTAGGTCTCCTGAGCTGCTCCCTGAACCTAACAGCTGTCTGGCCCCAGAAAGGAGGCCAGAATCACGCAATGACCAGCTCAGGAGAAGAGGTCAGCCCAGTGTGCAGACAATCAGCATGCTTTGCTCCTGCCAAGCACCTGGGTCAGACTCACACTGTAACAATATTGCCACACTTTTATAGACAAAACTTCCCCGAGCAACCCTCCCCCTAGTCCCGTTGCAGCCAGGAGTAGGGCAGCAGAAGTTGCTACCCGGAATCACGCAATGACCAGCTCAGGAGAAGAGGTCAGCCCAGTGTGCAGACAATCAGCATGCTATGCTCCTGCCAAGCACCTGGGTCAGACTCACACTGTAACAATATTGCCACACTTTTATGGACAAAACTTCCCCGAGCAACCCTCCCCCTAGTCCCGTTGCAGCCAGGAGTAGGGCAGCAGAAGTTGCTACCCGTGCCAGAACCAAGTGTTCCCTGATGATGTCACTTTCTGGTCCCTTCCCCCACATTCATGCTTTTGAAATAGCAGTTCCTTTCTTCCTGTCTCCTCTTGGTCCTAAAATGAGAAAGAGGCCCTAGAAAGTCTTCCATCCCTATATGGATTGAGATCCCCCCTATCAAGAACCTCCTTAAATAGCAAATCTCCATTAAGGATCACCTCTCCCTAGGTAAAGAAAATATCTTCTTTGAAAGTATTCCATTTCTGGTCTTGGGTTCCTCTTGGTCCTAAAATGAGAAAGAGGCCCTAGAAAGTCTTCCATCCCTATATGGATTGAGCTCCCCCCTATCAAGAACCTCCTTAAATAGCAAATCTCCATGAAGGATCACCTCTCCCTAGGTAAAGAAAATATCTTCTTTGAAAGTATTCCATTTCTGGTCTTGGGTTATAGCAGCTCAGTGTCTTCATGGGCTAGCCAGAAGATTGTAGCTGGGAGGGATCACCTGTGCCACAATTATCCCTTTGGTTAGAAAGATACACTCATGGGGAAACAGGCATCTAGTCAGAACACTAACTGTAACGAACTCTTTGTATCTCAATTTGGCAGTATCAAAAACCCTAAATGCACTTGCTCTTTCCTCCAGCAATTCCATACCTAACAATTTGTTCTTCAGTGTGCTGGTATACGTGCATGAAGATAGCAATCTTTGTCTGTTCTCTTCATCGCTGTATCTCCAGCACTTTGAATAGGGCCTGGTACATAACAAGTGCTCAGGAAATACGAAGGTACTTCGAAAAGCTCATGGAAAAATAGAATTAAGAAATAATACAAATCTTTTGGTGAACTTTTTGAAGACCCCCCTCCCCCCATGTTTGTTGACCAATTAAGTTCCCCATCTAGGTGTTGCTAGGCCCAAGTTTGACTAGTTCGGGGCAGAGGCAACAAGAAGGGAACAGTCCAGGGAGTAAGAGTGAAGAGGTGCTCATGAGCCAACCACTGAGTTTCCAGTTCTCTCAGCAGTTCCATTCCAGGCCTCTGTCCCCAACCTCCAGCCTCCCCAGAGATGACTCTCTCATCACCATGTCCCCACACAGGTTCCTCTGTCCTGAACTAATCAGCCTGGGCCCCATCTTCTCATCTTTCTGTTTTCTGACTTAAAAGCTCTAAACTCTCTGGCTATTCCCATTTGAATCATCTCCCTCCTCTCCTGGACTGGGCCGGAGTACAGGTCCATGTCGCTGGTATAGGCACCATCTCCACACCTAGGCTTTGGGCATTCTACCTGAGTTCCAGAAGCCTTAGACTGGCTAATGGCTCCCTCCTGGATTTTAATCTGTATTAGCTAATATCTACTGAGCACCTGCCATGCAAAAGGCGTGGGTGCTAGCAAATACTCTTCACAGCGATCATCTGAGCTAAGTGTTATAATCATTTTGCATATGAGCAACTGGCCTTCGTAATGATTCTCTGACTGAAAGTCCCTGTCTCTGTCCCTACAATCTGCTGCAGGTGAGGAGGAGGGAAAGAAGATCGATCATATCCAGTGGGTCTCCCTCATTGCACTGTGAGCAACTGAAGGCCCAGGAGTGTGCCTTGTTCATTCTGGAATCCCCAGTGCCTCGCATGGGGCTAGGCATATATTAGGCACTTACTGTATGCACTGAATGCTGGAATGAATTTAGGAATGAATGAAAGAAAGAAATTGATTTTTTGGTTTATTTTGGCAGCTGGCAGGTATGGGGATCTGAACCCATGACCTTGGTGTTATAAGGCTGTGCTCTAAACAACTGAGCCAAATGGCCAGCCCCTAAAGAAAGCAATTATAAGGGAAGGGTAAAGGGAGGAGGGAGGAGATGCAGCCAGAAGTACAGTCTACCTAAGTGTCCAGTTCTAAACTCACCTACCTCCTTGAGATAGCCTGAGACAGGGGCTTCCAGCAGAGGCCCATCGTGATCCACCCTGTGAAGAACCAGGGGGGGATTCTAATTCCTGCACCACTCACTTTTGCCCTGTACTCACCAGCCTCCCATTGGAGACAAGGGCCCATGTGTCCTGAGGAGGCTCCCCAGCCTGACAGAGGCTTCTGACCCCAGGGAAGCCAGAGTAATGGACAGTTTTTCTCCCTGGGTGACAGTTATGCCTTTGGGAATGGAGCATCTGTGCTCAGGAAATCAAGATTCTCCAGCCAAACTAACCAGCTCCAGCCTGGCCCCTTCCCAGAGTCGCCCCCACTCCACTCTCACCCTCTCTCAAAAGCTGCTACTGCCTCCTCCCCGCACGTGTGTGCCTGTGAAATTCCCTCTTCTTTCTGGAGAACCTGAGCAGCCCCCTCATCGCACACACACAAATCACTTACCCTTGACTTTTATGTAGGACACATTTAACATTACGTCTGAATGAGATAAGTGTTATTTTGCCTCTTGTCTCTCTTGGCCATGATCTGTGTTTGGAAATTCTCTCAAGGACAGGCAGGAGAAGAGGTCATGGTGTACAAATAAGAGCTGCCAGGAGCTGACTGAGCCGAAGTCTCTTCCCAACACCAATCTTCAGAGCTGGACTGTGCTTCACCCTGGGGTGCTTGGAGGCCTCATCCCAGGCACAGGTTGCACTCAACCTTTCCCTCATAACTTAGGTGTCCCTCAAGGATGCTCAGCCCCAAGTGCTGCTTGTTCAGAGCTCTTTGATCACAGATTCATAGAGCATCAGAATCAAAAGAGACCTCAGATATCCAAACCTCCTAACCTCTTATTTTACAGGGTGAACGCAGGGGAAATTGAGGCCCAAGGAGGTGATCTTACTGCAGATAGGAGGGTAGATGCATGCAACCACTTTGGAAACCATTTGGAATTATCTAGTAAAACCGAAGAGTCACATACACTAAGACCCTGCAGTTCCACTCCTAGGTATATACCCTGGAGAAGCTCATACACACAGATGCCAGAAAACACATGTGAGATTGTCTTAACAACACTGTGTGATGTGACCAAAAACTGGAAGGAGCCCAGATATCCTTCAGCAACTGAATGGATGGATGGGATGTGCTATATTCATACAATGGAAAACTTGACAGCAAGGGAAAATGAATGAACTGCTGCTACACGCAACAACATGGATGAATCTCAAAAATATAATGTTGAGCAAAAGAAAGTGGGACATAAAGGAACAGATATAGTATGACTCAAACGAATATAGTACAGAATTAAAACAAGCAAAACTAAGTTGTATTCTTTGGAATGGTTACATTGATGGGAAAAGTACAAAGAAAATCAAGGAAATGATTATCGCAAGAGACCAGACAGTGGTTCTTTCACTCAATACATATTTACTGAGTACTCTGAATGTCCCAGGTATTGTTTTGGACACTGGAGAAACAACAGTGAACGTAAAAAGTAGAGATGCTCACTCTTGTGTTGCTTACATTATATCGGGGTAAACAGGCAAAAAACAATCCATAAAATAAATGAGTCATATAGTATATCAGAAAGTGATGCTATGGAAAAAAAAAAAAAGAATAGAGTAAGGGTTAGGGTTAGGGTTCAGTAATTCCCAAATTGAGATGGAGGGTTAGTAGGTCACAGTATTAAATAGGGTGTTCAGGGTAAGCCTTATTGTAAAGAAGAGATTTGAGCAAATATGAGGGTACTTCAAAAAGTTCATGGAAAGATTCATATTCTCTTTTAATTCTATTTTTCTACAAACTTTCTGAAGTACTCTCTTACACGAAGGACGGGAGAGAGTCTGTTAAGTGGCTGAGGGGAACATTCCAGGCAGAGGGAACAGTCAGAGCAAAGGCTGTGAGGAAGAAACAGTTCTGTCGTTTTCCTGTTCCACGAGCAGTAAGTAGGCCAGGTGGCTGGAGCACGGGATTGAGGGGGAGAGTGGCTTTCATTCTGAGTGAAATGGGGAGCCACTACAGGTTTTTTAACAGAGGAGACACATGATCTGACTTGCATTTAAAAAGAAATCTGACTTCTATGTTGAGAAGGAAGAGGGCAAGGGGAGACCGGGGAGACCCAGTTAGAAGGATATTGCAGTAACACAGGAGAGGGATGATGGGGGCTCAGACCAGGGTAGTAACAGTGAAGGTGGTATTTACATGGGGAGAAAGCTGTGATTGGGGGGACCTCACAGGGAGTCCCCTGTAGGCAATATATTTAGTGATTTACCTGTGTGATGATTACCTGGGTGTTCATTTTATAATTATTTATTAAACTGCACATGTATATTTTATATATGTTTCTGTACCTATGTTCTATTTCCCAATAAATGAAGAACTCCAGAGGCAACGTGAGGAGCCCGGCTAGTACATGGCTGAGGCAAGCTGGAAGGCAAGTCCAGGTCTCTCCACCCTGCCCGTCCAACCCAAGGGCACGGGCCAGGCCCAGCCGGCTCACCTGTATCCTGGTGCTGTGGTCTGGGACAAACCCTGTGTCACCTCTCTCAGCCTCAGTGTTTCATCTGTGAAATCAGGAAAATACCGCCTGGTTCTCTCCCTCACTGGGGTGTAACGAAGATTACAAAGTACTTTGTAAACTGCCAAAAACCACACATTATTGCTATTTTATAGTGTGTTTTTTAACAGCATTATTCAGCTATAATTAACATACAACAAACTGCATGTATTTGAAGTGTATAATTTGATGAGTTTTAACACATGTGTACACCCATGAAACCATTAACACAGTCAAGATAACGAACGAGTGGTGGAGTCGACACTGGCACCCAGTCCTCCTCCTCCAGTCCAGTGCTCCTTCCACCCCCAAAATGCCTTTGTGCTCCTTTGTAATCTATCTCCCCATTCCTCCCCACCACGTTCCCAGGCAGCCACTGTTTTGTCTTCAGACAATATAGATTAGTTTGCATTTTCTAGAATTTTACATATCAATGGGTTCAGATAGTCTTTTTTGTCTGGTTTCTTTCACTCAGCATAATTATTTTGAGATTTATCCATATTATACATGTATCAATAGTGTACTCCTCTTTATTGCTGAGTAATATTCCATCATATGGATAAAACTACAATGTGTTTATCCATTCATCTCTCGGTGAATATATTTCCAGTTTGGGCTATTACAAATAAAACTGCTATAAATGTTCATGCACAAGTCTTTGTGTGGACATATGCTTTGATTGCTCTTGGGTAAATTCTTAGGAGTGGAATGGCTGGGTCACATGGTAAGTGTATATTTACCTTTTTAAGAGGCTGCCAAACTCTTTCCCAAAGTGGTTATACCATCTTACATTCCCACCAGCAGCACATGAGAGTTCCAGTTGCTAGACAGCCTCACCATCACCTGGTAAGATCAGTCTTTTGTATTTTAACCTTCTAGTGAGTATGTAGTAGCACTTCATTGTGGTTTTTAATTTGCATTTTCCTAATGACTGATGATGTTGAGCATCTTTTCATGTGCTCCTTTGCCACCCCTATGTCTTCTTTGGCCAAGTAACTGAATCTTTCGGTCATTTCTTATCTGGGTTATTTGTCTTGTTATAGAGTTCTAAGACTCTTCATGCATTGTAGGTACAAGTTCTTTGTCAGGTATGTTTTGCAGATATTCTGTTCCAGTCTCAGGCTGCATTTTAATTTACACTTAACAGTATCCTTTGAAGAGCAAAGACTTTTAATATTGATGAACTCAAATTTATTATTAGTATTATCTTTTCATGGCTGGTGGGTACAGGAATCAAACCCCGGACGTTGGTGTTAACAGCATCACACTCTAATCAACTGAGCTAACTGACCAGCCCCTCATTCTTCTTTTTTTCATGCTTTTTGTGCCCTATTATTTCTATCTATGTTTTTCTAGTTGTATCTTACATTTAAGTCTTTCTAATTTTTATATATGGTGTGAGGTAATGGTCAAGTTCTTTGTTTTTGGCATATGGCTATCCAATTGTTCAAGCACCATTTGTGGAAAAGATTATCCTTTTCTTGTTGAATTTCCTTGGCAACTTTATTGAACATCAATTGATCATATCAGAGGGTATTTCAAAAAATTCATGGAAATACTCACATTATCTCTTAATTCTATTTTTTTATATGAACTTTTTGACATATCTTATATTTCTGGACTCTCTTTTGTTCCATTAACTCATATATCTGTCTTTATGCTAATACCATTACTGCAGCTTTAAAATAAGTCTTGAAATCACAGAGTGTAAGTTATCTTTTGTTCTTTTTTGAAATTGTTTTGGTTATTCTAGGTCCTTTGCATTTTCACATAAGTTTTGGAATCAGCTTGTTAATTACTAGAAAACAGTCTGCTAGGATTTTGATTGGGATTGCATCAAATCTATAGATCTCTTCTTCGCAGGAGATTTTTTTTTCTGATTAACTCTTGGTTGGTTCAGAAGCATTCTTCAACTCTCCTATGAGCCGACCTTAATAGGATCTGTTTCACTCCAGTGCACCAGGTTGCTTTCCTTAAACACTCTGTGAATTTACACACCTCCAGACTTTGCTCATCTCTTTTCCTTCTTAGGTCTCCTGGGCACCATCCTACTTGCCCTCAGCTCACATGCTACCCCTTCTCTAAACCATCCCAAGCCCTGACTGAAGAATTTACTTGCCTGGGCCTCACACTACTTTGTCCTCATCTCCCTCACAGGCACACAGAACTTTGAATTACTTAATATCACCTTGAATAATCATTACTTGTTTATGTTCTTTGTCCCTTAGACAAAAGAACTCTTCTAGGCAGGGACCATATTATTATTATTATCATTATTTTTGTAACATCACATACTTGGGAACATATTATTTTTATCTTAGTATTATTTTATCTCAGTATTTTTAAACTTTTCATTTTGAGATAATTGTAGATTCATACGTAGTTCTAAGAAATAATACGACAGATCCCATGTGCCCTTTACCCAGTTTCCCCCAATGGTAACATCTTGAAAAACTTTAGTACAGTTAATACAACCATAAAATTGACACTGATACAACCCACTGATCTTATTCAGATTTTTCCAGTTTTTCATGTACTCATTTGTGTATGTGTATGCATGTGTAGTTAAGAACAACTTTTAACTATTTAAACTTTTTTTGGGGGGGTGGGGGGCGAGGCTGGCCAGCACAGAGATTCAAGCCCTTGACCTTGGTGTTATAACGTCGTCCTCTAACCAAATGAGTTACCTGGCCATCCTTACTATTTAAATTTTAACAATGGCTTATTTAGCTCCTGCTATATTCCAGACAGCTGAATTGTGGAAATATGAGGTAAGACAAAGTCCCTAAGTGGAGGTCACAATCTCAGCGTTCGGAGTTGACGTTTTGAATGTAATGTAGGAAAGGCAGTTAATCCAGTTACTCAAGGTGCTGTGGGAACCCAGAAGCACCTCGTCCACTTCGTTTGGTGTTGGTGGTGAGGGAACGGGGAGGACGTCCGGAAAGGCCTGTGTGACACAATGCCGAACCTAACGTTATTTTCCCTGGAGTCTCATGCAAATCCTCACATTCCTGAAGGTTCTGTTATTTTTATGTTCATTGGCAGGTGAAACATTCAAGGCTCAGAGCCCTTACGTGCCTCGCACAGGGTCACGCAGTTAGGGAGTGACCCGAGTGAAGACAGCTTTAGTTCTCTGACTCCAGTACCTGTGCTCTCCCCCGAGTGGCGGTACACGGGGCACTTGTTTGCCACGTATGCCTTCTCCCTCTCTGGAATTTTGCCTGCCACCCCCTTCCTATTTTCTTTGCTGCCTTGCACAGCAGACTTCCCACGTGGCAACTCAGAGGCGCACCGACGGAGCAAACTTCCCACGCGGCAACTCAGGGGCGCACCGACGGAGCGCGCAACAGCAAACACTCGGGAGCCACGCCCCGACACCGTGCGCGGCTGCACGGGCGCATGCGCACGCCGCGACGGCGGTTCTACCCGGATGCCCTACTCCGCACGCGCCAGGGGCGGGGCCGGAAGTCGCACTTGGCCGCCCGGTTGCTAAGAGACGAGGCTTTCAGAAGCCCCGCGGAGGTTCTCTCGCTGCTTTTCCTCCCTTTCTTCGGTTCAGCGTTTCCAGGTCCGGTAGCCATGTCGTACCCCGAAGCTGAGAGCTTGCGAAGCACTTTTTCCTCTTACATGGCGGAGGGCGAGCGGCTGTATCTATGCGGAGAATTCTCTAAAGCCGCCCAGAGCTTCAGCAACGTGAGTCGCGCTCTGAACCTGCCCGTCACCCATCACCGCTTTCTATTACCCGTATCACTGAGGTCGCGATGATGCCTGGACGACCCGTTGTTTCTACTATTCACTGGTTCCTGATGGATACACCTCCGGCATAGATAAGCCCCTGGCTTGGTCATTTTCTACCAATTCCCACTTGCGTTCTCCATTCTCCGCATTAATACTGACGTTTTCCTTTACTTTTACTTAAACGTTTTGTGATTAACTGTCTTCCTTCCGCAGAGCAGCCTCAATTTCCCACCATTGGCCGGGAGATTGGTTGGGAGGTTGCGTGTAGAAGACGCGACGTCTCTACACACTTGCTCATAGAAGGTGGTCAGTAAATAACTAACGTCATTATAGTAACCTTTGTGTAAATGATACCCCCCCACCCTAAGGAGATTGGGTGCCCTTTTAGGATATCAGGCACACTGCTAAGCACAGTACAAGCCTATGAGGGAGGTACTGTTGTTACTCCATTTTATAGATGAGGAAATTGATACAGAAATCGAGCAACATGCCCAAGGTCACTAAACTAGCAAGTGGCGGAGGAAGGATTCAAAGCCACGCACTTAACGCCAGTGCTGAGGTGCCAGCCATCATACCACACACTGGCACAAGTAAACCATTAGATGTTCTTATGACAATTTCTTTTGCTGCAGACAGCTCACTTATTGCAAATGGAGTGGTAGGATTGCCCTCTAACCAGTCCCAAGACTCCCCCGAAAGTCAAGCTTCTGAGCTGCTACCCATAGTCTCTAGTCCCTTTGAATCACCAACTACGCCCTAAAACCGGAAATGATGACCAGGTGGATGAACAATTGAGTTTAGGAACCCTGCCCCCACTCATTCTCCTCCTGCTGGACCAAGTCCCATCCTGGAGAAGCCCAGGCAGAGAGAAAAGAACACCCCAAGAGAGAGTAGCCCTGGATGAAGTGGTCTCTTTCCAGGAAAGACAGTAGCTACTTTCTCTTCTTAGAAAAGTAGGAAGGTCTTAGAAAGGGGTGAGTGTGTCTGATGCCTCAGGAAGGACAGTAGTCCACAAACTACAGCGATGGTCTCAAACAGAAGAAGAAGAGAGGACATGGGGAGTTGAGGGTATCACCCATCCCCACTTTAGAAACTGAAACTGAAAATCAGTTTCAGTTTTCCTGGTATTTTCATCTTAATTTCCTGAAAGAGTGATTAGTTCTCAATTAGCTACATAAAAAGAGAAGGTTGGTAGAGTGGATAACTCAAGCTACAGATTGCCCTAAAATCCATTTTTTTTTGCCTTCAGAATGCTTAGTATTTGATATTTATTTTGAGAGTGTCGTGCAGCCATTTCAGGTTTGTGGTTGAATTTGGTGTGCACAAAACATCCTCAGGTTCTATCACCTGAGTGGACTTGGGGGATCTCAGGCATTGCAGAAAGCTTGTATATGCTTAGTGGCATATTCTCACATCTCAACTAGTGGCTTCTGCAGCAGCTGTGATTCAGCTTTGTTCAAGATGCGCAACAGGCTCATCATCAGTCAAGTTGACTGAGGAAGGATCTGCGTTGAACTGCTCTTGGTCTGATAAGATCCAGATGCCTGTTTGATGGCGTCAGGAGTCCCCCTGAAACGCTGCAGGAGCAGGAGGGTTTGGGCTGCCCTTTCCAGTCTGTCAACCTGAGTGCTTCCTTCCTCAGGCTCTTCAGCTTCAGAGTGCAGACAAGAACGGCCTGGTTGCCCGCTCCAAGTGCTTCCTGAAGATGGGAGAGTTGGAGAAATCCCTGAATGATGCTGAGGCTTCACTTCAGAGTGACCCGACTTTCTGCAAGGTGACTGCATGGGCGGGAGGACTCAGTCGTGCTTTCACCACCGCCATTGCCTGCAGCAGCCTCTGGTTATAAGTAGTTGAAGAACCAGCCAGACTGCCTAGAGTCTGATGCCATTTTCTTCTTGTAGGTCACTTGCCTAACTCCCTGCACCCTGTATCCCAGTCTTGACCCTCATCCCAGGACCCTTTGGTTCTCATGCCTGAGTCCTGTAAGGCCTTCTTTTCCACCTTGATTTGTCTTCCTGTCATTCCAGGGGATTTTACAAAAGGCTGAGACACTGTATACCATGGGAGACTTTGAATTTGCTTTGGTGTTCTATCATCGAGGCTACAAGCTGCGGTCAGATCGGGAATTCAAAGTTGGAATTCAGAAAGCCCAGGAAGCCATCAACAACTCAGTGGGAAGTGAGTGACCAGAGGGCCTCTGCTCTTATCTAGGAAGGCTTTAGGAGTCCTTAGGTTTAGAGAAAGGCCTGAGGGACAGTGGTGAGCAACCGCCACCAGGCCTACAGGGAGTCCTGTGCTTGGATTTGGCTACTGCTGATTTTGTTGAGGATTAGAAACCGTTCACTGGGAGGACCAGTCCCTGATCCACTGTACCGAGCACTGCAGTGTCTGGTTTTCCTCAAAGCCAGGTGCGAAGAGCTGTTTCAAAGTAGGCCTGTCTTTATCCTGTTGTCATAGGATAGAGCAGGGTCCTAAGCCCAGCTTTCCCTAATCCCTTGTTTCCTCCCTCACCACATGTCACAGGTGGCAGGGGGTGGAGGAAGGTGAGTGAGAACCTGTCACTGTGTGAAGCAGAGCATGGCAATGGCATGGGAAAGAGCTTCCCCCATGGCCAGGGCCTCCTTTTGTTTGGAAATCTGGCTGCCAAGGTCTTGGACTAAAAGGGGCTGTCTAGCTCCTAGGAGAGTGTTATACCAAGCAGCCTGCACCATTTGCCTGCTAGGCTGGCTCAGGGCCAGCTTCGCCACAGCCTCCATTATTCTCCTGCCAAAGGCAGCCATTTCTACATAAAAATATATGATAGGTTGTGCCCAGGGGCCTGGCCAACCTGAACTCCAACTTCTATCCTTGCAGGTCCTTCTTCGATTAAGCTGGAGAACACAGGGGACCTCTCCTTCTTAAGCAAGCAGGCTGAGGTAAGGGCCCTGGTTCTGAGGCCATGTGTGCCTGGGAAGCACAGGTCTTAGTGGCCCTCTTACCTGGGAACATGGGCTACTGCCCCAGCTCCAGAGGGATTTCAGAAGTCTAGTTGTTGTCCGACCAGGAATACGTCATGGTTTTCGGCGTATAAAGAGGTCCTGGAGGAGGAGGAATCTGGGATCACAGACTCTGGGGCCGTGGCTGGGTGCTCTGTGCTCGTTTCTGAGGCTCTGTTGGGTGTTGCTCCGTTTTCCCAGAGTATGAAAGCCCAGCAGAAGCCTCATCCCATGAAACACCTCTTACACCACACCAAGAGGGAGTCCAAGCGGAAGGGCTCCCTCAAGAGTGAGAAGACTGTCCGCCAGCTCCTGGGGGAGCTCTACGTGGACAAGGAGTATCTGGAGAAGCTCCTACTGGATGAAGGTTTTGGACACTTTGTTGGCAATGGGGACTTGGGGAAAAGGAAATCTGGGTGGATGCTTAATGCATGACCTACAGGCAGATCCTGTCGTATAAATTAGTCAGTATGTACCTATGGACAGGTTTTACTAGAATTCTTATTTTACAGATGAGGAAACTGAGGGGCAGACCTGAGGAAACTAAGGTCACACCTAGGTAGGCAATAACATGGCTCCTATTTCAATCCAGGATGTTCGAATTCACAGCCACTACTCTTTTAAGCATGGTGATACCCTGGGAGGGAACGACAGAGATTTGGGCTCCTTTACCACTGTAGTCCCTGAAGGGGCATCCCCTGGGCCTTCAACCTGTGCAATGGGCAAAGGAATGCAGCGGACAGGTGCTTTAATCTGAGGATATTAGTACTAGAATGTTCTTAAAGATCATCTGGTCCAGTCCCTCCTTTCCTAGGTAAGGCAATAGAGACCGTGAATGAAGAGTAGCTTGTCCAAGGTGACAAGCAAGTTAATGGTGGAGTCAGTACTAGTACCCAGTCCTCCTCCTCTAGTCCAGTGCTCTGTCCACCACACTGTGCTGCCAGTGACAGGACATAGGACAGAGTCTTGGAATGAATGATTCACATAAATTTGGGGGTGGGAGTATTGCCATTAGCTGATAAGCCTGAAGAGTTACTCTTGAATCAAATGCCTTTTCTGCAGAACTGGCTTCCCAAGGTCATCTACAAGGTCCTCTGCAGGGATGGCTTCACTGCTGGCACATCTCCTGAGTAACAGGCCTGAATGCCTCTGGTTCTCCAGAGGACCTGCTGTTGGGGGAAAGGGTGGCCTGAATGTTACCCCAAGTGGCCTTGCAACTTTGCTACCAGCTCTAACCTCTGGCCAGGCAGTGGCAGGACTTGGGCACACCCCTCCAGCTCCCAGCATGCACTGGCCCACTTGGCACCTGGGGAGTCGCTTGGTACTGGAAATCTGGGCCAGGGCATGCATTTAGGCTCAGTCTTCTCCGAGGACACAGCTTGCAATGGGAGAGCCCCGAGGACTGGAGGCTTCTCAGCTATCCTTCTGCTAGCTCCTCACATCTGGGCAGAGCCACTCTGCCACCACATGCTTTCACTTTCTTCACTGTTTCCACAACTCCAGACAGGGCTTCTCTCAGAGGGTCCCCACAGCAGGGTCCCAGAGCCAAGAGGAGGCGACTCACTTAGATGCCTGTTCTCATTGGCACCTCCTCACGCTTATTCCCCACAGACCTGATGAAAGGCACCATCAAGGATGGCCTGACCGTGGAGGACCTCATCATGACGGGCATCAATTACCTGGACACCCGCAGCAACTTCTGGAGACAGCAGAAGCCAATCTACGCCAGGGAGCGGGACCGGAAGCTGATGCAAGAGAAATGGCTGCGGGACCGCAAACGCCGTCCTTCACAGACAGCCCATTACATCCTCAAGAGCCTCGAGGACATTGACATGTGTGGGTGGTAATGGTCTCCAGGGGCGAAGCAGATGGCTTTGGTCCCTTGCCAGGTGGGGAGGGGCAATATAGTAGCCTGATCTTCTGTCCTCACTGACCTGCGGGTGGTATTTGGGGGGAGAGGAGTTGCCCTGTCTGCCAGGAGTGGACTGCCCTCACCGCCACACCACCTCTTTGCCTTCCCAGTGTTGACCAGCGGCAGCGCTGAAGGGAGTCTTCAGAAAGCTGAGAAAGTGCTGAAGAAGGTACTGGAATGGAACGAAGAAGAAGTACCCAACAAGGATGAACTGCTTGGAAACTTATACAGCTGCATAGGGAATGCCCAGATTGAGCTGGGACAGATGGCAGCAGCTTTGCATAGCCACAGAAAGGACCTGGAGATCGCCAAAGAATAGTGAGTGCCCTGAGGCGGGCTGAGGCCCATGGACCTACAGAGGAGTGGGGCCTGGGGCTATGTCTCGGCCTTTGCCTGGGCTGCTGGTGGCTTAGGTCCTATTTTCTGCCCTTTATGCCTGAGGTAGATTCCCCTGGAGGTAGGAACCACCTTCCTAGGACTGAGGGTAGGGGGCAAACCTAGACCGTTAGCTTTTTTGCCACAAAGAGGAGGATAGTGGCTCAAAATTCCAAAGAGCTCCCAGTGGTCCGGTTCTTAGGGATATTTTTATTCTTACATCATTTCAACAAGCATGCATCAAGCCCTGTACATGCCAGATGCTGCTAGCATTGGGAACACAGCAGTGACCGTATATAAGGATCATTTCCCTGCAGATGTCAAACAAAAAGTGACAAAGTTAATTAATTGCAATTGTGGTAAGTGCCATGAAGGAAAAGTCCAGGATCCAGTGCTGTGAGAAATATATTCTAGGGGGACTTGACTGGGTGTTGGGGAATACACATGGCCTGTGGGAAGGCCCCAAGGCAGGAGGAGGCTTCAGGTTGGAGAGCTCAGAGTATTGCCAGGGGAAGGGAGCCAAGAGGAGGCTGGACGAAGTGGGCAGGGGTCGGATCCAGCAGGGCCTCATAAGCTAACCGAGAGCATGGGCTCTGGAGTCGGGCGGACCAGAACTGGGAACTTGTATCTCCCAGCTGTGGGACCATCGGTGGGTCACTCAGTTCTCTCAGCCTCACTGTTTCTTTTCTTCCTTTGCCAAATGGGCACAACAGTAGCACCTACCCTGTAGGGTGGGCGGGAGGATGAAATGCAAAAGCACATGTCAAAACTGAGGACAGTGCCTGGTATCCATTCAAACAGTAATATCAACTCTCCCAGAAATGAACTCTTCTTAAGATGTGATGGCTTCTGCAGGGATCATCACTTTCTGGGCATCCTGCTTCTAACCTTCAGAGTCATTCTTGACTTCCTCCTGCGCATCTGCTCACCCCACAGTTCTGAGCCTCTCTTGGTCTCCCAGTGCCCCAATTCCACTCCCAGCCCCCTGGCCCCCGGCTACCTTCTGCTGCTCTCCCTGCCTCTGCTGTCTTTCTCCAGCCCCTCCCACAAAGCTCCTCCAAAGACACGTGGCTTTTTCTATCAACTCTCCTTCCGCTGCTGACAAATAGGCCTTGGCCCCTCATTGGCTACAGGTTAAAAGCCAAACTCCTCCTCTTGGCACTCTGACCCTGTCAAAACCCACTTCAGCACTGCACTGCTCTAACAGTCTTCCATCGGGGTCAAGCTTTCCTGAACATTCCTGCCTCCTGTCCTCTCCTCTCCACTGATCAAAGCCCCAAAAGCTGTCCATTCCTAGTTCATTACTCACCTGCCTCCACTGTGCTGAGCAGGAGTGTTACATATTGGCCATTTCAGAAGTGGGATAAAAAAAAAAACAAAAACGTGCAGGGCCAGCCTGTGGCTCACTTGGGAGAGCGTGGTGCTGACAACACCAAGTCAAGGGTTAAGATCTCCTTACTGGTCATGTTTAAAAAAAAAAAAAAAAAAAAAAAAACAAAAACGTGCAGGGCCAGCCTGTGGCTCACTTGGGAGAGCGTGGTGCTGACAACACCAAGTCAAGGGTTAAGATCTCCTTACTGGTCATGTTTAAAAAAAAAAAAAATTAAAATAAAACAAACAAAAACCTGCTTTAAATACAGACCTGTCTTTGATTCCTGGCTCTGCCACTTTGAGGCTGTGTGGATTTGATTAAGTTGTTCATTTCCTCAGCTTCCTCATCTCTAATGACGTCACAGTAGTACCCGCCCACAGGGATTGTGAGGATTAAATAAGATTTGTATGTACAGTACCTTGGATCCAACCATCTCCCATGCACTAATGACTTAAAAATCTTTGTTTCTCACCAGACCTCTCTCCCAAGCCCCAGACCTGCATGTCCAACTGATTCCAAGTCATTCCCATCCGGATGTCCCACAGGAATCCCGAACTTAACGTGGCCAAATCAGAGTCCCTTATCTTCCTCCCAGACTTCTTACTCCAGAGTTCCCTGTCCCTCAAGATGGCACTGTTGCCCACTCAGTTCCACGCCAGAAAGCCAGGAGACCGCCCAGACACCTCCCGCCCTTCACGGTTCATCCCCAGCCCTGGTCACATCCTGTCCCTGCCTTCTGTTTCCCTCCCACAACTCAGTCCAGACCCTGCTCACTTCTTGCCTGTTTCCTCTGCCCTGGGCTTCCTGCAGCTCAGCTGGCCCTTCTGGGAGAAACAAATCCAGTGGTTAGGGTGAGGTTCCAGCGCCCTGCCCTGCCCTGCCCTACACAGGCTGCCCTCCCTGACTTGACTCACCCTGGCCTCTCCCGACCAGGCTCCCTTCAGGGCCCTGCGCCTCTTGTCCCTGGCAGTACAGTGCTCGTGCATCTTCCCAGGCGGGTCGAGGCTGGCCGGCTTTGTGCTCTGCCCCTGCTAGTCTCTTGGCACGACTGTCTTGCCTTTCCCCAGCGCCTGCTTTATCAAGCTGCCTCCTACCCATTCTTCAGCATTTAAATCATGTCCTGCTTCAGGACAGCCCTCTCCGCAGGTATCTTCTTTGGACTTTGGAAGGGGCTGTCTTCTGTTTCTAGCACCTGCCACATAATGGGCATGTAATGAATGTGTGCTAAGGAACTGAGTAAGTCAACAGAGGTGTTCCTTGAAAATATTAGTTCCCTTTAACATGCACAAATGGCCCGCACCTGACTGCACCAGTCAGCCTTCCTTATGAGTTCTGTGGGCCCATGCGCTCCCTCGTTCTAATCTGCCACTGGCTGATTAGCCATTTATTTGTCCAGGTAGCATCGTCGGTGCCCCCAGCCCTCGTTTATTCCTCCAAATATCCATAGATGATTTGATTGCATGCTTTCTCGTTGCTACTGTTATTTCTTATTGCATATGATTATTATGAATAAATTAACATAGTACAGCTTATTCATTCATCACACCAGAACAGAGCACCCACTCTTAGCAGGGAAACCGACCTTAGAGGTGCTGAGAACAGCGGGTGCGGAGCATGGCAGGGGGTCCAAGGAGAGATGCGGGGGGGAGATGCAGGGGGCCTCAGAGAGGACAGGAGGGTCAGCAAGGTGGACAAGGGGGAGGGAGAAGGGCACCCTAGGCAGAGAGGCATGGCAGAGATGGAGGCTTGGGGAACTGCAGGTGGTGTGGCAGGGCTGGGGGCCAGGACCCATGCGGAGTGGGAGGACCAGATGCCATGCTGAGGAGACCCAGCCTGCAGGTACTGAGGCTGATGAAGGAGTTTGTTTTTACCCAAGTACTACAGTGTTGTGCTTGATTCAGAACTCTGTGGTACTCAGGGCAAAATGTGAAAGTCTCCCCCCACCCTACTATTCACTTCCCTGGGATCTTGTTGGAATGTGTCCTTCTGGCCCCTTTCAGTGTGTTTACCTACAGCCCAGTGTACATATACACATCCATAGGATCTTACAAACACAAGCGATTCATTTCTTTTTTTTTTTTTTAAAAGATGACTGGTAAGGGGATCTTAACCCTTGGCTTGGTGTTGTCAGCACCACACTCAGCCAGTGAGCAAACCGGCCATCCCTATATAGGATCCAAACCCGGGGCCTTGGTGTTATCAGCACCGCACTCTCCCGAGTGAGCCACGGGCCGGCCCACAAGCGATTCATTTCTATGTCTTTTTTAAAGAATGTGTCTTGGAAAGGGTCTCATTCTTTGAATGGCTCATAGAGAGGAGCTTCACCATGCACAGTGATGTGTTTCTTTCCTGCGGGCGGGCGGACACTGAGGTTGTCCCACACCTGCCACTGCAAACGTGCTGCAGTGAAGCTTCACGGGTATCTCTGAGTATTTCTGTGGGAGACCATGAAGGGCTTAGGCAGAGGAACTGCTTGGTCAGATCTGCGTTTTAGAAGGGCAGGCCTGGCAACTGTGGGGAGCACAAATCAGAGGAGAGCTTCATGGAAGACATGTAAAGGAGGGGTCAGGTAGGGTGAGGCTGAAAGGCCACCCCAGCAGTCCCCAGGGTTTCAGTGATGGGATAGGGGGACGGGAGCCCAGAGGAAGTAGAGAAACTTGCCTGGGAAGGGAAGGAGGGAGAGGAGGTGCCAGGTGGAGGGGATCTGGGGTTGGGGGAGGAGGTTATTGTTTCATTCGTTGAGAGGGAGGTATTTTGAACAGAGTGATCAGAACTTGCTTACGGTAATGGTAAAGAACCCACCTGGGGGGTGCCATTGTCTTTTTCTTTATGGGAAAGCCTTAATTTTTTCCTGATGACATGTGAGTACTATAAAAAAAATTATATGGATAAAATGAAAATTTCCCTCATAATCTTATTTTTCTCTGGGTAATCATTAATAATTAGACCTACATTCTCTACTTCTTTTAAAAATGCTCACGTGTGTGTGTGTGTGTGTGTGTGTGTGTGGCTTAAAAAACCCACATAGGCTGGCTGGTTAGCTCACTTGGTTAGAGTGTGGTGCTAACACCCAGGTCAAGGGTTCGATCCCCACACTGGTCAGCTGCCAAAACAACAGCAGCAGCAACAAAAAACACCCCACATTTATTCTCTTACAGTTCTGAAAGTTAGAAGTCTGAAATCAGTTTCACTGGACCAAAATCAAGGTGTTGGGAGGGCTGCGGTCCCTCCAGAGGCTCTAGGGCACAATCTCTTTACTCGTCTTTTCCATCTTCTAGAGCTGCATGAATTGCACTACTGATCCATTTCTCCATCTTCAAAGCCAAGAGCATATCATCTTCTTCAGGCCCACATATATTTTTTAACACAATTGGAACAATATACATAATATACTCTCCTGTAATCTGACTTTTTAACTTAATTTATCATGGACTTTTTTCATACAGAAAAACTGCCATTGCTGGGGCACTGATAACATTTAGTTTGTTTCCAGTGTTTATTATTATAAACAACACTTTAATGAGTATTCTTGTCACACTATCTTCTTGAGGTAAATTCCTAAGAGAATTGAAGGATCAAAGGGACATCTTTGCAAGCTCTTGACTGCTTACCCGCCAGAAAGGTCCTAATAATGTCCATTCTCAGCCGCAGGGCATCATAGGGCTTGCGTGCCACAGCCTTGCCAGCCTGGGCATCGTCCCTGCAACTGGGACACGGAGCCCCTGAGGCCAGGCCCCTGTCTTCGCCTTCTTTCCTATCTCCATGGTGCCTAGAACAGCCGGTTTCTAGTGAATGTCTTGTTTTGCTTCTTCCCCACAGTGACCTTCCCGATGCGAAATCAAGAGCCCTTGACAACATTGGCAGGGTTTTTGCCAGAGTTGGGAAATTGCAGCAAGCCATTGACACGTGAGTGACCAAGTCCCTTCCCCATGCCGGGCTGGGACTTCCTACCCTCACGCTGGAATCCCAGCCTGGGGCCAGGATGCCAGGCAAAGATGCATCAGAAGACCTGGATTCAGCTTCATGTTCTGCCAGGCAACCTCTGGCAAGCCACCTTTTAAACTCTGGGACTCATCAGTTAAACTAGTTAATAGAATCAACAATTTCTCAAAATTTCTCAGTGATAAAAATCACCTGGGGTACTTGTTAGGTATATAAATTACTGGGCCTCTCCCCTGGAAATCCCGATTCTACAGGTCTGGGTTGGAGCTCAGGAATCCATTTTTACAAACACTCCAGGTGATTCTTACCTTTGGTTAAGTTCAGGAACTGGTGGACCAGTTGACTCTGAGACCTCTTCTGAGGCTGTTCTGTGACTCTGTGCAGTCATGTGGGGTCACTGGGAACAGGGTTGAGCTCTCCAGATGGCCCAACTGCCAGACCTTTGATGTTCTGCCCTGCAGTTGGTTATTTGCTCAGAGGGATGGGCTCAGCCCCAGAGAAACTCTGGGGAGGCCCACACCTGGAGACCAGCCCACACTGGGAGAGCCAGATCCTTGGGCTCGCTCACCTGTCATGGAGAGAAATTGTCCTTCATCATTGTCCAGCATCATTTGACTGAAACATTTGTTCACCAGCAGCCTTCTGCAGCACGTAATTTGATTTCCTAAATGGCCCTCAGTGTCTATGTACTGAAAGACAGGAGTATCAGGGCTGGCCGGTTATTCCATTGGTTAGAGCACAGCCTTGTAACACCAAGATCAAGGGTTCAGATTCCTATACTGGCCAGCCACCAAAAAAAAAAGAGGAGTATCAAAGTTCACCCACCAATTAATATCTTTTTGTAATAAACTGTTTTATAATAAATATGTGCTGGGGCCAGCCCATGGCTCACTTGGGAGAGTGTGGTGCTGATACCACCAAGGCCACGGGTTCGGATCCCATATAGGGATGGCCGGTTTGCTCACTGGGTGAGCGTGGTGCTGACAACACCAAGTCAAGGGTTAAGATCCCCTTACCGGCCATCTTTTATAAAAAATAAATAAATGAATGAATAAATATGTGCTTATTGTTAAAATATTAATTTGGAAAATACAGAAAAGTAGAAAAACGTTATTCAGTCACGTTACCCACAGACAAGTACAAATTCTAATCCTACTCTTATTGGTACTTTGTTTTTTCATTCCAGTCTTATTCTTTTTTCTGCGTTGATTTTCTCTCATTATACTTAATATTTTTTCGATTTAGTGTAGTGCTAAAATACTTAATATTCTTAATCATTATTTTTATGTTATTTCGTTTAAAAATTTTTTAACATTTATTTGTGGGGTACAGTGTATTGTTTCAATACATGCATATAGAGTACTTTATGTTATTTCAAATCCTATTTTTTAATCCTTATTTTCTACTGTTATATCAAATTCAGTCCCATAGATGTTATCAAAATAGCTTTGGTAGTTTTACAGTATACTAGTGCTTATTTACTCCACCCTGGACTGGTACTCGGAGAGCAAGTTTTAGTCTGCCACCCCGCAGGAAGCCTTGGCCTCCTGTGGCCGAGTGCAGGGTTTGAGGGGAAGAAGCTGCCCCTGGTTCTTCATGTCCCCAGGTGGGAAGAGAAGATCCCTCTGGCAAAAACCACCCTGGAGAAGACCTGGCTCTTCCATGAGATTGGCCGCTGCTACTTGGAGCTGGACCAGCCCTGGCAGGCCCAGAATTATGGCGAGAAGTCCCAGCAGTGTGCAGAGGAGGAAGGGGACATTGAGTGGCAACTGAATGCCAGTGTTCTTGTGGCTCAGGCACAAGGTACGGGCTCAGATACGACCACCCTACCTTTCCCAGCCTTCAGGCCCAGCTGCAGCTCCAGGGCTGGGGATCCTGTGGGCTGAGCTTACCATCCCGGTGTTTCTCTGCCCAGATTAATTTTTAATCAACACATGGTTAGTGCCTACTTTAAGCAAAGCCTGATTAGGGGTTGCAGCACCCTGAGAGCTGCAGAGGCAGCTCCATTGAGGAGCTCAGCTGCAGACTAGCTCAGCGTCATGTTGTCCTCGAAACAGTGCCCATGTATTGAACCACTTCCTCTTGCCTTGGTTCTTTTTACACAAGCATTCTTGTATTGTCCTCATTTTAGAGATGGAGAAACTGAGGCACTGAGAAGTTCAGTAGATTGCCCCAAGTCCCATGAGGGAAACATTTAGAGTGATGGAAGTTTCTAAAACTGGATTGTGGTGGCCATTGTACAGCTCTATAAATTTTCTAAAAATTATTGAACTATATCCTTACAAACAGATGAATTTTATAATATGCAAATTGCATCTCAATGAAGTTGTTTTAAAAAAAAACAGCAATGGGCAGGGAATGGGGAGGAATAGATGAAACAGGATTGACAAGATATTCAGTGTTATAACACCAAGGTCAAGGGTTCGGATCCCCATACCAGCCAGCTGCCAAGGAAAAAGAAAACATTGGCAATATATCAGTGATGGTTGAGGCTGCATGGTAAGTAATGGGCCTTCATTATATTCTTCCTTCCCCTTTTGTGTATATTTGAAATATTTCGTAATACAGAGTTAAAAAAAATGGCCCCAGGTCACATTTCTAGTAAGTGATGGAGCTGGGACTGGAACCCAGTTCTGTCTG